TTTGGGAGTACCTTCTGGAGGCTGCTTAGCGTGTAGCCTTGTGTTTGCGATTTGATTCAATGTGTTGGTGCTTGGTTTGTGGCAACCTGGAAAGAACCGCAGCGTGATCAAATTAAAATTCATGAGCCCAGACTATTAAATATCATCCGGGGCGTGCTACCACGTGCCCCTTTCCACAACTTGGGCATTTAATAATCTTTCCTGCTTGGCCCCAAGACTACATCACCCTACAATGACACGTGAATGAACATGTTGCACCGTACTAGAAGGCTTGAACATACACACTTAAACATTCCTTTATTCAACATCAAACCTTTTTTTAGAGCGTACACATTAATTTAATGCCAGATTTTATGATTCCTTTGCATTGCAAAACTCATGGCTGACTGGTCAAAGAACATCTTGAGTTCGCAGGAATTTCGCAAGAGAGGCTTCGAAGTGAGATGGTGTGTGATTTCAGGGCGCAACGCTGGTTTGCACGCCGAAGCCCAAGTTGGTTATCATTGAAATTTCAGGGTTAGTTTCCTTTCATTGAAATTCTTTCTATAATATGTCCTAGTCTTGGCCAACTGTCAGGTGAATAGAGACAGGGTCTTTGTCATGGCCATCAAAGGGAGCTCCAAGTGTTTGGAGGCCATATGTGTATTTCAAAGCACGGTTTTGCCCATGCTCTTGCTTGCTGACAGGGCTTCAAACTGAAGTCGGCTGAGCAGATTCACGAAAGTGCCAACATGTGTTGGAACCTCAGGAACCAACCTGAAATTACAACTTGGCTTTCCAATTCCCAGCTGTCAAGTGACAAAGAACGGCTGCGCTGTGTTGGAAACATGGTCATTCCAAAGTGTGCTCAATTGGCGATGCACATCCTGCTGGCTGCACATCATCGCAGGAATGTCAGAAGCTGAGCCACCAGTTCCTTCAGCCGCTAGTAGCCGCTAGTTGACAAGTTGATTCTAATTATTCAGTAGTATATAAATCGTGGACACGCATTCCAGGTCTGAGACCGCTGTGACTGTGGCCAGATCGAGGGTGATGAAGTCTGCCTTGCACGTTTTTCGCCCCTGTCACTGTCATTCCAACCCATCCGGCCCAGATTTTGGCAATCAGGTTTTCATCCCGCTTCATTTGCAGCTTTTCAGCAACCAATCGTTTATATAGTGTTTTCGATATTTGCAGCCATGGTGCCTGATAGTGACATTGTGATGTCAACCCCACCACGGGCTGCGAAGCTTCTCAAAGCTCCAATCGCCACCCCAGTGCAATCATGGTGGGGTCAAGTCTATGGGCCTGGTGTGGAGGGTTGTGGACACAGTGGCTTTCCTCCAAGTCCTGAGATTTCGCCTTTATGCACTGTCATGGATGGTGAGAGCGACTGTGAAGATTTATTTGGTGCCGATTCTCGATTGAATTCATGAGTTGATTATTTGAAAAGATTTGATTGCAGCATTGTGCCAGTGACCAGTCCACAATTCTTGCAAGGAACCTGACGCAGCGTCAGATACCTACGGGTCATTGCTGGCTTCGCAGTTGGCGATGCGAGAGCACAAGTTCCAGGCTTGTCCAAGAACATCATAGTGTTCCTTGTGAATCTGAAGGGGTGCATGTCGTGTCAATTATTTAACTCAGCGCAATGCATGTTCATTCCACCCTCATGATTTGAATGTCATTCATTCATGTCATGTGATGAGTTCTTCAACTTGTCAATCTGACCAGGAGCACGTGCCAGAGCTGGAGCGACCTGAGACGCTTTCGGAAAACCAGGCGAGTTCCCGGTGGTTCAAAAGCCTTACTCAGTCGGCTGCTGCTAATTCCTGCTGTTTGTTTTCCGCTTTGATGTGATGGTGCCTCGAGCTGATAGGTTGCGGTATCGCACCGTCACGAGATTTCCCACCAGGCTCCACACAGTAGAGTCAGTGCACTTTCATTCTGAGTTCTTCATTCCGATGGTTAGCAAGTGCAGGCGCTTAATCAGTGTGTGGTTCTTTGTCCAGGAGGGGAAGTTGGAGTCGAACTCGGGGATTAATTTGGCCAAGCACTTCACTTTGAATGCGGGGGCCTAAACGAAATTGTGAGGATGAAAACAAAAATGATCGCTGAAGATTGTTTCATTCAGCTTGCCAGGCGGCAAGGGAAGAGAACTGCGTTTCTGGTGACAAGGCATAATTCCACCTGCTGACAGCCACTTATCAAGAGTCAAAACCGAGTTGGATCGACTGCCTGCCTCATGCCGCTGTTATTACTTCACCAGCCTCTTCCAAACGCAATTTTGTCAGGCAGATCTTGGTGTTGAAATCAAACCGCGGTGCAAGGCCACGGGCTGATGTTAATTGAATGTTTCTGAATGCTTCTGATGTTCATTGAATGCTTCTGATGTTCATTGAATGCTTTCTGTCAGGCTGATGATTCTGAGAGTGATGGCGAAGATATGGTAGTTGTGGTCAGCCCATTGGACGAGGCCACCGCAAGATTGTTCAATGCATTTGATTGCTGTGTCATTCCTTCGAATTCAGTTTTTTGATGCTTTTTGCCTGAGCATTGCATGATCAGGCCGATGGTGACCTTCAGCATGCAGTTCAATCTCCTGAGGCTTGCACTTTTGCAAAGTAACATTCCTCGTTTTGCATGCCACTCCCACCTGCCAGGCCTTGGCCCCTGGCGCAAGGCGACGCATTGACTTTGATCAGGCGTGCGTATTGCAGAGATCACTCAGAAGCATTAAGCTATTGCATCACATTGAAGTCCTTGCTATATTTTTTGGAAGCGCTTTTCACAGAAACTTAGTGAGTTGAGGTTGCTGTGGCCAAGAAGAATTGTTTTCGAATTTGGTATCCCTTTTGCAAAGGCTGCAGCAGCACTGAAGAAGCGAGCCTAGACATTGATGCGGCCAGGCACGATCTATGGTCGTTTGCAGGATTTACTTGTAGGGGGGGCAACTATTTTTTTTAATGTTAATCCATGTGCTGTCTTTTCAAACCAGACATTATTATCTGCTGTGGATGCTGCGCAGTGCCAGGAGTGACAGCAGTTTTTGAGCAAGGCTGGTACTACAGCTTCATCGCAGGACTTAAGACGGATACTTTCCAGGCTGAGACATTTTGAGAAGTTGAAAAGCAAAATCAACCAGTTTTAATTCCATTTGGCAGTGGGTCAATTGTGGCTTGCTATGACTGTTCGATGCAAGCGCTCAAGCAGTGCTTCATGGCAAAGTGTTTAGATTCAGCGCTTTGTCAGCACTAGGCCAAAAAATGCTTCGTTCGCTTTGTGGTCATGTGATGTGCTTTGGGTTGGCCACTGTGCCACTGTCATATCGGAGGCAAAATGTATGCGCCTAGTATTAGGGTTGGATAATTTCCTACAAAGCTTTTGACACCTCGATCAAGAAGGACTCGTGGTTGTTTGTGTGAGAACATGGCTTTCAGAGCAAATGAGAGTTAGATTCATGCAAGGAATTCTTGGGGCAAGGGACATATAGTGATGGTAGAAATGATCATTTTAGCAACTTCCTTTTACATGCATTAAATTCACCAATAATGCAAAATTCAAGCTACACTAAATTCAGGCCTGAGGGCTATCCTGCAAAATAGACAAGAACCAATGCAGAACAAAATGTGATCTTAAATGTGGATCAAGTTGAAAACAAAGGGGCCTCAACCCCCAAAAATGAGAAATTCAGGCAGGCGTAAAAAAGAAGCGAGTTGTTTTCCAAGTAAAGGGTGGCCAATTCAGAACAACAACAAATCGCCAGTTTGTTTATGAGAGCGATGGGCTGATGGGGAAGCAATTCAAAAAAGAACTTAAACATTACGCTTTTCCTTTGAACGTGAACCAACACCAAAATTTTCCGGCGATTGCAGCAAAATCCGGATTAATTTTGTCTACGTTTGATTTAAGCTGTCCAAACAAAAATAAAATTCAGCATCTTGCTGCTGCTGCTGCTGCTGCATGTTTTTTACATTCATTTTTAGAGCCAAAAAAAGGTCATAATAGATGGTGTTTCCGTGTTTTTTTATGAGTCTCGAAGCCCAAAACCATGGTATTTACGATGTTTTTAGCTCCTGGTAGCAAAAACTGCAGTATTTACAGTGCTTTGGGGCCAGCACCTAACAAAAACACTGGTATTTACGTAGATTTCAGCTTGTTGCAAGAAACATTTTTTCAATGCCAAAAGCACAAAAAACACTGTAAATTACAGTGTTTTCGCCTTTAACGCGTCAAAATAACGTCAAAAATCAACCAAAAAGTGTCCAAAATGGAGTTTCCAGCCGAAACTGAAACAGCCTCCGGCGGGAGGGGCCGTTTCTGTGGGGTTCAAAAAACTTTTTTTGGGGATTGGCCACTAAAAATGATTTTGAGCTTAAGCCCAACCAAAAGACGTAAACTCAACTGCTATCTAACCGGCTTACAGGTGCTTGTAGAGCTTACAGATGGACTATATAAAATTGCACCATGATCAAAGATTATTTCAAACTCTTACGGCCCCAACTAAGTTCCAACGCTTAAACACGTACCCCTTCCTGTAAAATGAACTATTACTCACTGTCTCAATCAGTATTTGGAAAGTGTTTTTTGCATTCGGGTTCGTGGCTGTTTAATTTATCTCGTCCGTTGTGATGGTCATTTTGTCCGCTGAATCGGGCATCATGTCATGCGCTGACAATGGACAGTTGACATCTTGATCTGAAACAAGCAACAGATGTCGACGGCGCCAGCGCTCGCTTTGAATCAGCTGCTGGGAAGTGTCAATTCTTCTTCATATCATGATGTTACTCGATTTCAACATTGCATGAGTACTTCACAAGAAATAAGTCACTAGATATAATAGTTGAATGTTGAAATTATGTTAGATATATCTAACTTCGTACATTGTATTTAACCATGCGTTCATCATCAGGAAAGAAAAAAAAGATAAGAGTTCACCATCCTGAATCTATTCCACGACGCTTGCCATGGTGAAGTTCTTTGCCTGGCAATTTTGGGCGTTGGTGACTTTCTTGGCCTCAATGGCTTTGGTAGCTGTGAAACCAGAGTTGACAACATTATCGGATGATGAACCCCTGGATCCAGGGGTTGCCCAGCCACCTCCTTTGCAGTTGGCTCCAGTTGAGAAGAAGAAAACAAAAAACAATCCCTGTGCCGTTCAGATTAGAGGGCGGTTGGGCAAGCTGCTGAATTTCCAATGCACGTGTGCCCGTCAAGCAAAGGGAGGGGCTTCTCAGAGTTGCTTCAAACAGTTTCAGGATGACATCGAATCTGTATTTCAGCTCGTGTGGAAATTGCGAAATTTGGACAAACAGGACATGGACAATGAGGCTGGGACAGACTATAAGATTCCGTCGAGGTTTTAACAAGATTTCCCTTGAAGGGATTTTACACAACGTGGATAGCACCTTCTTGGGCGTAAAACTTGAAAGGCTCATTTCAAAAAATGAGACGGCCTAAAAAACCTCAACGGTATAACTGGTTTGTTATTACATTATGTTCACCAACCATGAAGACGATAGGTCCCCAAAAAGAGTGGTTGGGGACCTATCGTTTTAATCCCCGCTGTGTCTTCCCTGATCACCGCTACAGGGAAGACACAGCGGGGATTAAAACGATAGGTCCCCAACCACTCTTTTTGGGGACCTATCGTCTTCATGGTTGGTGAACATAATGTAATAACAAACCAGTTATACCGTTGAGGTTTTTTAGGCCGTCTCATTTAAATTTGTTTGAACCTTCAAACGTTTGAGAGCAAAACAACCGCTGCAGCAACAACACATTTAACTAACAAATCAGCAAATTAGCAATTTTAAGCCACCAACGATATCTTACAATTTCTTGAGCTGTCTCCATTACCACCTTCTAAATATCACAATGGCAACTATCAATGGCATAATATTAAGAAGCAATTGCATCAACCTCAACATATTATTTCGCTCTGAAATCATTTCGTTAGCGATGATACTATAGCTTGTTATCTATCAGGGGCTGTAGTATTTTTTTTGCGGACAAAATGACAATCTGTCAGGTGGTGCGGATTCTCCAGAACACTCCCGACCAGGTGGCCACATCTCGCAAGAGACATTTGCTGTTGGGCAAGGCAGTTTGTCAACAGGCTATCCGGAGATTACTTCAGATTGGAAGCGATCGCTGCTCCAGACTTAGGAAGTGTGCTCAGACTGGAGCAACTGCTCCTTTGGACGGCCGGCGGACGAAGCGTGCGTCCATTTGCAAAAACAAAGTTTCAGAGCTGAAACGGGCCACCATCGTTGAATATCTCACTGAGCTCTTCCAGCAGGTGTCAGAGCCAATGCCGGAAGCGAATCAGTCACTGCACAAAATGAAGACGGGTGAAATTGCCATGCTGGTCACGGATTCGACTGAGGCTGCGTCAAGCAAGGATTCTGCCAGTGCCAAGAAGAAGCCGATGAGATTCAGACGGAACCGTGGGCGTCGCCCGAGACTTGCCGGTCAAGTTCATCGAGGCGCTTGCCAGTCTACTATCAGACTCCTTCCGCCTGGAAGCTACACAGATTACTTGTCAATGCTGCGAGCGCGACACCCCACAATGAACATTAGCCTCAAGTTGTTCTTGAAAGCAGCTTGGCTGCGAATGATGGAGGCTCTTTGTAAAGCTTAAGATAATATTTGTTCATATCAGCAGTCTGTCATTGGCTTATTGCCAGCCATGAGGTATGGGGTGTGACCTTTGGCAACCGCCTTGCCATTCGCGCTCCCACCCAACATGCTCAGTGCAGCATTTGCGTCCGCCACAAGCTCCTCATCAAAAAGTTGTCAAGCGACGCAAGAGCAAGAAATTTCCAAGCAACTGAATTTCAACGTCACCTCCAACTTCAATATCAAGACCGAACCACGTACTGGTTCAACCGGGCCAGCTCCCGTATCCCAGTCCAGCCATCCGGCTACAAGAAACTGTGCATTGTGACAGATGCCATCGACCACAATAAATTTAGATATCCTCGCTCGAAGATTTTCCAAGCCAAACAGTTCAGCTCAACGGTGAGGCCTGCAATGGATATGACATGCCTCATAGCCCACGGCTATCACCTCATGCTTGCATTGAGTGAACCTTACCTTCCCAAGGATAGTTCTTGGTGCACTGAGTTGCTGTCCCACATGCTGAGCAGACTCTCGGCAGGTGGATTGGATCTAAGGTCAACCGAAGTACACATCCAATCGGACAACTGCTGCAGAGAGACTAAAAACAATACCCTGACCAGATGGTCAGGGTATTTGGTGGCGACACACCGCGTCAAAAAAATCCAAATGGATTTTTTGATGAGTGGTCACAGTCATGAAGACATAGATCAATTCTTCTCTGCAGTGGCAAACTTGATCGAATCACACCAGGAGGTTCATTGCCCAAGTGACTTTGTTCGGCTGCTCGAAGGATGGCTTTCTGACACTTCGATTAGGAAGCATGAGCCATTGCGTTCCGTGCTGAAAGTGGACCAAGTACGAGACTGGTGCTTCGGTTGCTGAAAGAGAAGATTGTTTGAATTCCAAGTTTGATTTGTCCGAGAATTATTAAAAGCCGTTTTTCAGCATTCATAGTAACATTTAGTATTATTGTGCAGGTTCAGCATAATATGTGTGAACTTTTCCATAGGAAGTCAACCAGTTTAATTTCCATCCATGCCGTGTTCGTTTCGTGGCAAAGGATTCTGTAATTTGTGATCTGCATCCGAGGCGTTCCTTTCTTCATGTGGCTTTCCTGGAGGCGCACCTAAGGGGCATCACAGGCCCTGGTGCTCCTCACAGTTTCAGCTTTGAACGTCGCGGAGATCTACCAGGCAGGTTGCCCAATGATGAACTCATGTCTGATTTTCAGGGACTCAAACATTCCCTCTTTCAAAGTACCAGTGTTAGCTGCCCCTGACGGGCTCTGCAGGAGAAGTTGCATCGCAGATCCGCCTTCCAAAACTTTGGAAGAAGGCAAGCCTTCCAGCAGACGACGACGATGTCATCATGAGGACACCCAGATGTAGTTAATGGCGCCCACGCGCTGAAAGTCGTGATCCTTTTGTGAAACTGACAGAGCCTCAAGTATAGAAGTAAATATTGAAGGAAATTATATATTATTTATATTTAATATTATTTTTGCTACACGGCTTTTCCTTTGTACGTCAGTATTCTTGAAGTTTAATCTGTTCCATTGGCTTCAAGCCAGAACATGAAGGACAAAATTGAACATGAGCGATCCTGAGTGGAGCCTTCCCTTATTGTATCTACCAGCAGCTGTTGTTCGACAAGTTTGCCAGTCTGGAGTCACTATCCCTGAAGGCAGGACCCAACATCAACATTGATTCAACCATCGACACTTGATAAGTTCATCGTTATTCATTTTGTTTTCCGCCTGCGGACCCGCCAGTTGTTGGTGATGATCGCCCTGTGGATGCCAAAGTTTCTGAAGGCTACAGCAAATTGGCACATATGCTTCGTCACTTGGATCAGCAGCACGTGCTGGCATAGAAACAGTTTAACATTGTTCGTTGGGAAAATGGTTGGTAGTATGGGGAGAGATTAACGCTATGATCACGAGGTGAACCGCCATTTGAGATGATGGAGGCTGCCGCTCACTTGGGTCATTTGGCTGATGGGACTTTCACCAGAGCTCCTCTTTTGGATGTCAGCAGGCGAGGATCAATAATTTGATTTATATCAGTCCTATCCTTCCCGTCCCCATTATCATTGTCATGCCAGAGTTTTTGGAACGACAGATCAAACAGTAGCTTCACAATGATTTAGTAAAGTATCTGATGCGGTGATGTGGCTGTCAGCCCTGTGTTCCTTTGGATATTAAGTACGATGCGGCGCGTGATCGGGTTCAACTGCCTGCCTGCCAGGTGCATGCCTTCACCAGGCCCAGCAGTCGGGCCTGGTTTTGCTGGAGTGGGGCTTTTGCGACAAGCTCAACCAATGCGACCCGCATCTTTGCGCAATTGCTCAAAGTGATGTCTTCCCTTTTCAAGCTTTTCCTTACAGTGCAACTACCAGCAGTCACTTTTACAAACATTTTTAAAAAACAAAGGATCCAGCGAGGCTTGCAATTATTATATGAGTGCCAGTCATTACATTGCATTCTCCCTTGCAATGCTGGATATAAACCGGTTCCATCACAGGTATACCCATCACAGTTTCTGTTTTTTCCACAGTTTGGGAATACTTTGCATATTCATGCTGGGCCCAGTGACTTGGCGTCGCTGAGCTAAACCTCAAGAATACCCATGCTTCATTCGCAATCAGTCATGGCCCTAATGCCTACTATTGGCTCAGTAAATAAAGTTATTCAATATCACGTGTTCTCCTTACTTTGAATTTATGAGCATGTCATCCAAACTAAGCCCAGGTTGCGAACCACGTATGGCTGGACAGGGAGCTGATGAACAAAAGGCATTTGGATAAATACCGGGCCAAGCGGAAGGCTCACCACATCCATTTGGCCGCTGCGAAAATCTGGGCCCGTGGAGTTCCGTGGGATGATGCTTTGAGTATGGTCACGGAAACATTTGACGCCACCACCTTTGAAGCTCGGGAATGAACTATCGAATCAAATCCTAGATCCAGTCAGTCAGTGTGAGCGGTCTCACAAGCGACCGCACTGTTTGACGCGATCTTGGAGTGGAGAAGGCTTCAGGTTCACTTTGCGCAGAGTAGTTTCATCAGAAAACATGCTGTCTCAGAACCGGGCGATATTCTGATGAAAGTGGATAGCATTCATCAAAACCTCCTACTGGTCCTGGTTGGGTGAAAAGTCAAATGTGCCCCTAATGTCTCAGAGATGAACGAAGGCATTTCTGTGCCTAAGGGTGTTTTGATGAAAGCTACCAGCTTTCATCAAATTCCATCATTGTGTCGCCAGGTGCTGTATTTTGATGGATTTGATGAACATATTTAACGTCAACGGTTGCGCAGTCCTAACCTTCAGTCTGATTTGTGATGGATGTTGATGACTTTCATCAAAACTCAGTCCGGGGATACCTTGGTCGGGGAAAACTTTTTTTGATGATATCCGGTTTACTTTTATCAACACAGCTTCGTCAAAACATTTTAGCGGCTTTGCTATCAGTCCGGTGATATCTTGGTTGGGAAAAACTTTCCTTTTGATGGCATCAAGTTTTCTTTCACCAGAACAGCTTCGTCAAAACATCTTTTTGACGGATGTTGATGCCGTTCAACAAAACTAAGTTCATTCATATTTTGGTTTGGCAAAACCGATTTTGATGACATCGCGGTTTCTTCCACCAATGCACCATCATCAAATCATGTGTTTGATGCCATTATGATTTTCTTCAGCGCAGAGTCGGCGTCAAAATCAACACACTGTCATGCAAAATCATGTACTGAATTTGCGGGCATTGCCAGGATTCGTTGACCACACGGCTGTTTTTTGGTCTGGTGTCCAAAAGTCAAAAAAAATTGGGTGCGGCATGGACACCTAGGGGGGTTGTTTAGGTGGGGTTTTGGAATTTTCAATTTTTGGCACCTGAGTGCAATGTAGAAAGAAAAAATCAAAATGTGATGAATGGTGACGGGTTTCATCAGAAAATCTTGGGTGCGCCAGCAGGGCTGGCTATACCAAAGCAAGTGCGCAATATGACGCAATCACTTGAATTCACATTTTTTTTTGTTCGGTGTCCAAAAGTCAAAAAATTTGGGTGCGGCATGGACACCTAGGGGGGTTGTTTAGGTGGGGTTTTGGAATGTTCAATTTTTGGCATTTTAGTGCAATGTAGAAAGAAAAAAATCAAAATGTGATGAATGGTGACGGGTTTCATCAGAAAATCTTGGGTGCGCCAACAGGGCTGGCTATACCAAAGCAAGTGCGCAATATGACGCAATCACTTGAATTCACGTTTTTTTCCTGTTCGGTGTCCAAAAGTCAAAAAAAATTGGGTGCGGCATGGACACCTAGGGGGGTTGTTTAGGTGGGGTTTTGGAATCTTCAATTTTTGGCATTTTAGTGCAATGTAGAAAGAAAAAATCAAAATGTGATGAATGGTGACGGGTTTCATCAGAAAATCTTGGGTGCGCCAGCAGGGCTGGCTATACCAAAGCAAATGGGCAATATGATGCGATCACTTGAATTCACATTTTTTTTTGTTCGGTGTCCAAAAAGTCAAAAAAATGGTGCATCATGGACACCCCCGTGGGGTTTTGGAATGTTCAATTTTTGGCATTTTAGTGCAATGTAAAAAAATCAAAATGTGATGAGTGGTGACGGGTTTCATCGCCATATTTAATTCGACAAATTTGATGAATGCTGATCCACTTACTGTTCTTACTTCTTCTTCTTCTTCTTCGTGTTTTCTTCTTTTCCTTATTCTTTCTTTTTACCCTTCTTTTATTCCTTTGTTCTTGTGTTTTTGGCCTTGGCTTGTCATGGGATCCTGTTCCTTTTGGCCAGGTCTTTGCTACGAGAGTGATGTCATGGCAGCAGTGACTGGCGTTCTTTTTTCAGAACGCGTTTCCTAATTCAGTGTTAGTGTCAAGGCTCGACACTGACTGGCCGCGCTTGTGGTTTCAAACTCTAGGGCAGCACGCGCTCCGAGAATTTTTGCCTCATTTCGTGCAATGACTCATGAGCCATTGAGTATAACATACAGATTCTGCAATTGAATGTTTCATTTTGCAAACAAACTCTTGCTATCATGCCGCTGGCTTGCGTTGATTGCCCAAAACTTTTCCAGGAAAAGCAGGGTTTTGACAGTTTGCAATTAATCATGTCGACCAAGCGCCGCTCGGCGAATGGTGGGAGGGAGAAAGCCAGCAAGGCTTGAAGGTCAAGGAAGAGCTGCCAGACAAGGAGGTTGAGGGCCATCACGTCGCTAAGATCTTTGATGCGTTGCTGTTTCTTGGTTATATGGTGCATTGAACTTGCCAAGAATGATTGCGCCTGACAGCTTCTGTCCTATGAATTTGAAACCATGTGCAACCGCTCAGGGAGACTGTGCTTGCCGGTCATGGATCAGTGGAGGAGTATTTGAACAAGAAGCTGTGTGACCAGGACAGGCTCAGGGTGAAGATGTGGTGGTTAGTAGTTTTCCAATGAGTCTTGTGTTAGATATTATCCTTTGGCCACACGCTCAGTGATTAAGTGAGGTGTATATTTCGGTTCACATTCAGGAGAGCTTGCTCCGCTACATGAAATGGCTCGAGGAACACCTTCCTCCGGATCCTTCTGCGTGGCGAACTCAGTGTTGCATTGAGTGCAATCAGCATTTAATAATTTAAGGGTCAAGCCAGCCCGGAAACATTGACATCATAGATTCCAGGACTTATGCAACATCAGATTCCATCAAGAAGGCAGGCGTGATTCTTTTGAGACCATGGCATTTGCCATTCGCGCCACAATGTGGCTTAAAAGGAGTTGCTGAAAGTGAAGCTCTGCTGATGATGGTTTGAGGTCATTGTGTGATAATTTTAATTCTTCAGCGTTTGCCCTGAACTCTGTCTCCTCTTGATGCTTTCGCTTGAGTAGATTTGACATAATCATTTTTTTTTGATCGTGTTGGCTGATTGTCCTTCTAAGGAATCTGTTCGCCAGCTCGGCCAGCTGATGTGTTTGAACGGTTTTATCACTGATCCCACGCATGCGGGCGTGGATCGCGTCACTGTGACATGCCCCCGGCCTGACATCGGCATGGTGTCACCATTCTCGATTTCAGCAGATCAAATTTCTGAAGACTATAACGGTCATGACATTTTAGCAGCGCATGGCCTGATATACTGCAAGGGATGGCTTCGCTGCGTCACTGCCAACTTGCTGATGCTCTTTGCCTATGACTACCCTCACTTCTTGCAGGCCGCTGTCAGTTTTGAACCAGACTTGTATGCATGCAGAATCAGAACTGGTCCTGTAACTTGTTGTGCTGAAGCCTCATTGTAGTACATCATTTTTTGAGCAGGCATGGAAAGAGGACACGTGGAAGACTCTTCGTTGCAAATTGGCATTTGCATTTTGGGGAGCCAACCATGTTTTGAAGTGCGATTGTGAGTTAGTGCTCTGGTGATTTACCCAAAACATGTTGTATGTCCATTGCATGGCTTTTAAACGCATTGAGAAGTTGCTCACGATTTTTTCGTAATCTTTGATCCTTAGGACTTTCGCTACAGTCCACTGTAACGTTGTTGTTGGGGACGGTACGTCCCTTGTGGAGACGAACCGCAGTGCCACCATGGCTGCACAAGTCCGCCGACGACCGAATTGCTTTAATCTTTGGCACCAGCTGAAACTATTGGAGCGTATCGGGACCTTGGAGTCATCTCAGAAGGTAACATGGCAATTTTGATGGGCGAATTGGTGCTTCGTTTCATTGAATCCTTTCATTGACAAGCTAAAAACATTATGGTGTTCATTGTCTATTGTCATGTTGGTTTTCTTGATTTTTTTGATTATGGGAAGTAGGGGGCCGGTCAAGGTTACTACATTCTGCTAAATGAAGTATACTAGACAGATGCCTAGGCATGGGCAAATGCTGGTGAGCTGGCTGAAGCATACCAATTGGGAAAGTGGGAGAGCTCAGCAGCCTTCAAACTACTCAATGATGTGCCCACGAGAACGTGCGAAGACTTGCAACAGCTCGTCAAGTGACTTTGAAAGCACTAAGTCAATGCTGCTATTACAACCAAAGTTGAAATCCTTCATTCAGACTTGATGCAAGCTACTAGGACTGTTTTCATGGACATTGGGTTCTTCTGCATCTGAAGTACCCTTGCTGCAGGCGGTTCTCCATGCAAAAATTCTTGACGCATGAAGCGGTGGCTGAAGGTGTGTTCAACCGCGACTATTGCTCGGCTGGGCCCACACTGGTTGCATGGCAGACTCAGCTGATCAACAACGATGACATTTTGATGCTTCTTGTTGAGCGGCTGGAGCTAGACTTTGTCCATACGCCCCTGAAGTTTCGAAAACCATGGCGCTATGATCAATGCGAACCTTTGCAATTATTGAGGCGCTTTGAAAGTGAGTGTGAATGACACATCAGCATAATTTGGTGTATGGTTGTGAGTGACTGAGGAGGGTTTGCAGAGGGTGACGGCCGCGTTCGTTGCATGCTTCAATGCTTTCAGAGATTCTTACCCAGAGGCGTTCGTGGAGGAAGAGGCGGTTGGACTCCAAAAGGGGTAACTCTGCAACATTATTATAATTATGTGTGAATGTAATTGAACACTCCATTGTAATTAATTCTGTGCTTGGTCATGTAACATCTCAACAACCATTCAATCAGAATGACATCAATTCCCTACTCCCTATGCTTGTCGCCCAAGGTTCTACTCCAGGCTTGCAGATGGAGACCTTATGAGCCTCTTGAAAGATTCGGTGCCCCCAGTGGATTTGCAACGAGTGGCGCTGTTTCGTGCTGTTTGCAAGAAATTTGAGAAGAAGGCTGGGCTACCCTGTGCCGTTTTATCGATCGGTCAGTGCCAGATTCAAAAACAATCCGACCTAGCAATAAAGAAACCCTTCCACATCGCATAATGATATAAAGTTGCTATTCAAGATTTAAATGACGCTATGTTGTGACTTGTTATTGTTTTGCATTGCTAGTTTTGGATGGATCCAGGTTGAACACGCCAATTTTGCAGCCCAAGAAAAGAATCTGTGCCGCATTTCACCACATCATGTTGTTCAAAAATGTTTATTCATCAAATCGAGTCGGCGAACATAATTCATAATCTTATAGTTAACTCTGTCTGAGGCTGGCGGAGCAAATGCAAGCGAACTCCATCGCGCAAGCCGAAGTGAAGGTCATTGATGACTTACAGAAGATGAAGGAATGGCTGGATCGGGCCCAAGACCATGCAAACAGACAGGTGGGATTAGAAACAGATTCAGTGACCATTGCACTCAAGCATCAACCAATTTGCCAACTCAGTCAACTCAACATGTTTTTATGTTTTTGCTTTCCTGCAAACCTGTTGCAGGGTGGTTTGGACCTTCAGTACTTGTCCACTCGATTTCAACGTGGAAAGGAATGGGGAGGACAATTTGTCCAGTCCCACCACATGTTTGCTGTCACCCCAATTGGCATTCAAGATGGACATGTCGAACTGCTGAAGTATCAGAACCAGTCAAGAGCAGATGGGGACACAGCTGACATGTGCCTTGCCATGCCAGTCTGATAATTGATTCCTCAAGCAATCATTGGTCTTTTCCCCAGGTTTCAAAAGGTACGTGAGGCTTGGCATTGATTGAGGTGCACTCTGATCGTATTGGAAGCTTCACTGTGGCCTTCGCGTGTCTTGAATTCAATGCTAGCTTCAATGCTTGAAATTGGGCTTTTTCACTTTGATTGCATTTTCAAATAGTTTCTGAATAAATATAGGAGCAAAATTTCAGAGTGGTCTTATTATGATGAGTTGAGGTTCACAAGCGATCGACGAAGCATGTGAAGCTGCAAAGAGCATGCTGAACGCCAATTTGAATGCAGCAGTCTTTTGCTTATACCCGCTCCCTCACACTTCCCTGGACTATACCACTCGCACTGGGTACAGAAGGCAGCTGGAAGACCGTGTCATGCAGTTTCTTGCCTGCCTTTGAGCCGGTGTCAGATTGAAATGTTGTTTGCCCCTGCGTGCTGAATGCGAGATCGCTGATTGCTTGAAAGTTGTTGAGTTTTTAGGCTAGAGAGTCACCACTCGCTGAGGCAACTAGACGTCCATGAAGTTGCCCTGCAATTCAAGGAGTCTGGTCATGGAAATGACAAGCGGAGATTGATTCAAGTTGGTTTCTTGCTTTATATTCAGTGCATCCAGCAGTAAACCAGTGAAGAGGATGTAACCGCTTCAAAGCTTACAGCATGTACATAATGGTAACATTGAAACACTACAGCTCAACGGTTGTAGCTTCCAGGTGCCATGATGGTGGCCAAAATCCACGACAAGTCTTCGATGTGGCTGAAGGCCAAAGTGCTTCGATCTGGCGCCCTTGGGCCAGTGAGCCGAGCTCGAGTGAGCGATTTGCTTTCCTTGGACATGGACCGCCCAGCTGGACCAAGTCAGAGGGTGCTCCACTGCAGAATTTTGTTTATTGTCGTAGAGTTTGTACATTTGCGCACTGTCAACATTGACCGTGAGTTGTAGTGACTGTGAGTGCATGGTCCGACAGGTCCAGCAACGCGGAGTGGATGGAACCAAAGAGATATTGGAGGGGCTCCTCGAGGGGCTTGATGCTGCGTTGACAAAGAAGATCTACTTGGTGGATCTGCTGCCAAATAGGTTCCGTGTTTTGTTTTCAATTTGCAAATGCATTCCTTTCTTACAATTATTGTGAATTTCCAAATCTCAATTTCCAAGTTTAAGTCTTAGAGATTTGTAACAAATGCCTGCTGAGGTTTGCAGAATGGTCCCGAGCGGCATGGCAGTTGCAGCTCAAGTACCTCCGAACCCCAAGTGGTAGCGACTGGAGGTATTTTGGCATCATGAAATCAGACGATGCTGAGTTCAATGCTTTGCCAGAGATTCAGAATGCTCTCAATGGCTGCATCATCAAGGTCACGGCCCCAGATAGTAATCACAAGTTTACAAAGCAGCCGTTTGAAGATTTTCTACTTGATGCCGACTGACTGGTGGCCCCGAATCTATGCAGGACTATTGGGACTCATCTCCTGAAGCTGGAGCGGCGAAGAGAACCAGCGCTGCCTTTGCCGAAGCCATGCCACAAATGCAGATTTTGGCCAGAGATGGACATACTGTGAAGCCAGCCGATTTAAACTTGTAGTTGTTGTCGTTGTTGTATATACTTGTTTCAGTTTTTGTTTGTGACCATGGACTTAATCAAACACAATCCTAGTTTTCAACGTGAGATGCTCGCAATAATGGCCGCTGTCAATTCTGAGGCTGCCAGATCCAGTCCGGGAACTTTTGGGCGCGAAGGGAGAAGGTTTTGTGGAACAGATTGCTGAAATGAACGCGAGGGAGGCAATGGGTGCTCAGCTCGCTGACAATTCAAGAGCTGGGGTGACCAGAGCCGGAAGCAGTGGTGGGACCCCCCAGAGAACCGAAGCACGCACTCTGTGTCGCCCTGTTTTCGCACAAGATGACCAGCCAATCAACCCGCAGAAGACAGTCCAGTTCCAGTCAGCGATGACCCGAGCAGAATTTGAACAGGAAAAGACGTATCTTGCATTCAGCTTAATTGTTTCTTGATGCTAACTTTCACAAACTATCTTTTCAGTTTTCTGCGTTGATGCCAGCTCCACTTGAAACAGGCATGTTTCTTTGTTCTGAGGATCATGGCCATGAGCAAGACAACAACTGACCACGTCTATGTTGCTGTGGTGCAGGGTACACCGTGCGAACTGTGGCTGACAAACTTTGAATCGGCTGTGACAGCCGAAATCGGGCCCTTGGAATTGTTTGGATTCAACGTCGGAAGTTTCCAAGAGAAACCTGCAGGCGAGTAACAATCAAATTTGATCACAATTATTATAGTTCTATTTTTCTGGCTTTGCTGCCAGCTACCGCCCGCGCCACCTGGACTTCAGGGCACACTGTAACAAGGTCTAAGGAAAGCGCCTAATCCCAAAACAATGCCAAACATTGATTCGATCTGAAGCCAAACCCACATTTAATTATTAAGGTTTTCTAGAGATAATAAGCAACTTGCTTAAATCCTGGCAAGTTCCTGAAACCAAAATATATTACTTTGATACATGTTGGAAACGTTGAAAACCCAACACGCCAACACGACACAAAAATCGGAAGCACTCCCCAACGACCCCCGTCTACAAAAGTATGTTTGCTTGAGCCTGTTTGCCCCAAAAGTTGCGTTTGTAAACCAAACAAAAAGAATGTCATGCCATCATACTACCCCACCAAGCGGAAATTGCCAAAAACAAGGCGCAACCCTTAAAAGAAAGATAGCCAATCAAAGCTGGCTACAGCAAAGATAATATTTCACAGGCCGTGGCACGCTTGCAACCGCCAAGTGGTGTCGGCGGAAAGTAGTCTATTTCAGCAATTTGTGGTGTTTTTGTTCCACCTCTCAGCAGGGTCTGTAATTTATTTATTCCACTGGTGCTTTTTTCTGCTTCCGCTCCCTTTGCAAGCCCCTTTGCCAGCATTCATTCTCACCAATTGCCACATTCAATATCAGAATATTATGTGTCCGAGATTACGTATCACACATTTTGCCAGAGAGACAGATCCGATCTAAAGATTAAATTCCAGACAAATTGCCAAATAAATTTGAAAACATTTTTGATATGGAAGATAAAAACATGATCTGCCTTCCTATGACAAACTAAATATGAATGAGCCTGGCACGGACAACACAAATTCAGGCGTTGGCTTGACATGACAATGTCACTACTCAAAGAACATTCGTGTGGGATTGTTATTAATGGTGGGGATCACTCGATGCAAATGAGTTTAGCACATCTATAATTAGTGGTGGAGATCACTTGAAGCAAAATTTTCAAAAAGTGTAAGATTATCAGTGGTGGAGATCGCTCGAGGCAAAATAGTTTACCATAACTATTAGAGGATGGAGACCACTCGAAACAAAATTTGTCTAGTAGAGGTGGAGATCACTCGAAGCAAACTAGTTTTAGATAAATTAGCTTCAGAAATCGAAGCGAATCGAAGCAAATAAGTTTAAGAGAACTATTAGCGGTGGAGATCACTCGAGGCAAGTTTAAGGAAAACTATCAGATTGCTCGAAGCAAATTAGTTTAATGTGAGTAGTAGGGGTGGAGATCACTCGAAGCAAATTAGTTTGAGAGAAATTAGTTTCAGATATTATAGCTATTGATTGGCGGTGGAGATCACTCGAAGTTAAGCTTAAGATAATAATAATACTTGTGAGTGCTGGAGATCACTCGAGGCAAATTAAATTAGTTTCAGATTCTGCCTGATGGCAGGAACCCAGCAGTCGTTGCGTGACTACATGGTTCCTTTCAAGATTGCTTCAGACACAGCACCGTTTGTTCTACTTGACGGTGCGAAGTCTATCAGTTGCCTTGCAAATCTTGCAT